TTTATTTTAAAATAAATTTATTTAGGCATACAAGTGAGTCAACTTAAATAAAATGCTAAGTAAGTAACAACACAAATGGTTTGCAGATACGACAAAACTGGAGAGCCGGCAGTACTCCAACTTACACCACAGAGTTTGGAAAACTGGTTCGGTGGGGATATTCGCGTGGGAGCGACTACGGACACCCGGAAGGCCAAGGACGACGCTGTAACGCGTTAACCGCTTCACTGGGACCGGCAGGGAAAGATGGCCCCGCCTCCCCGCGGAGCGGCTCAATGCGCAGGCGCGTTGGCGCGCCTCCGCGGAGCCGCTGGGCCCCACTGCGCAGGCGCGGGGGCGGCATTCCCATGTGGTACCCATGGCGCCGTAGTAGGTGTGTAGACGCTGCCAGGGGCATCCGGAATGAGCGCGGCCGAAGCCGACCGCTGGGCGTGGCTGCTGGTGCTCAGCTTCGTGTTTGGGTGCAATGTCCTTAGGATACTCCTCCCGTCCTTCTCTTCCTTCGTAAGTGGCTGCCTGACCTTCCAGGGGCCGGTGCTGGAGTCCGCCGGCGGGTCTGGCGTAGACACAGGGGTCTCAGGCCGCATTAGCGTCTTGGTCTGTTCTAAGATTTTTTTGAGGTAGTTGCTAGCGTGTAAAAGCTGCAAGGCTTTACCCCCAAATTCGACTTTCCGAATTTCCGGGGCGGCGGAGGGGCGAAGAAATACCTGGCAGTATTGGCCACGCTTTCACCTGGCGGGAATCTTCCGGCTGTGGGCGGCGGCGGCGTGCTTCAGACTGGGAGGTCTCAGTGCCCCGCTGCCAGCCTCACTCGTTTCCGTTAACCCCTGGACGCTGGGGGCCTTCGAGCAGCCCTTGGCCGCTAGGGGACCAGGGTTTCCCGGAGGCCCCGCGTGCAGTGTGCACTGTGCCATGTCCCGGAGAGACGGACCCCGGGGTGCAGGAGCCCGTATTGTTGGGGTGGGGAGACAGGTGTAGAGAAATAATCTCAGTGCAGTGTGATGCTTTCTGTATGCAAGAGACCGAAGAGCTCCGGGGAGCACTCTCTTTTTGCCGGGCATTTTGCCTAGGCAGTGAATAGGGATTCGTGAATATGGATTTGGTGGCGAACTGGCGTGTGGGCGTGGTGGGTGGGCTGGGAACATCAGGAGCTGTCCCTGGAGAAGGACACCCT